AGGATATTGCATTTGACATTTTTTGAAACCTCTCCCTATCTAAATTAGTCTCTATGCCCTTTTTGAAAACACTTAAGTGGAAATGAGAAAGGTATAAGAAATGAATGTGAACTTTGAAAATTCTCCCTCTCAATATATACATGAAGTTCAAAAATATTGTCAAGGCAAATTTAGCTAATATGAGAGTATTATAATGTGCTTATAAACTATTACATCCCATTTCTTGGAGGAATCGCAATCGGTGCATGGACCCGAACAAGCATAACACATTAGGCTTAAGCAAGACTCTTATCATTGACATTGGTAAGCATTCATCATTTTATGCAGAAGTGTCTTATAACATCCATCAACATACAATATCATCATGCACGCATTTATAAAACTCATTACACAATTAAGGAACTTCTCAACTTAATTGTGTAAGCTCGAGAATTTTATATATATTAACAAGTGCCATTATCATGAAGCATGATAACATTAAACAATAGCAACACCCTCGAGTGTCCACGTAGGTTTTTGAGCCATCATCATAATGTCATACATAACATTATCAATGTAAAATGCCCAAACATTGGCAACATTAACATAAGCATGCTTTTAGTTTGTAAAATAAACGCATGGTAAGATTTACTCATCAACTAAACATGACTCAACCTCTAGGCTGCTAAATCACCTACCAAAAGAGGAATGGATCACGTCTCTGTGACGTTGGCTACTATCAAGTTTTACATGCCATCATTGATCTGTAAAAAAAATAATTGGGCAAAATAGTATGTAAATCACAAAGACTCGGTGAGTAGATATATGAAGGGGATAAGAGTAATTTGTAAATATGCACTTGAAATCTCATGCCATTCATAAATCATTAAATTATATGGTCCATGAAACATGGTATTTAAACACAATTTAAATAGCATTTGCATGACATCAAATTTACATAACTTTTAGAAAACTTTTTGCCTTTGAAAACCTTCAAAACAAGTCAAAAAATACCATTCTTTGACTCATTTATCAATAGATGATCAACATTTATCTACAGATTTGAAGGAGAATGCTTTCTGTTGTATTTTATCTTTTATCTATTGATAAACGTTCTACCTGTATTGATAGATAGCCTCTGGAATTTTGTTTTCTGGGAAAATTCTACTTTTTTGCCATTTCTTGAATCCATGTACCTCTTGAAGTTATCTTTAAGGCTCAGTTTACTTCACCAAGCTCTTTCTCATGCCAACACAAAATTTAAATAGTAATCAATACTCAATTGAATTTAGCTCATAACATTTCATAAATGCATGATAGTCATAAGCATTCCATTTACATTAATTCACACATTCAATAATCACAAATCATACAATGTGATGGTATGACCCCTATCAACCTTAGGCCTGGAATGTACAGTCCCATTGCAACTCAGATGTTTATGATGTATCACAAGACTGAAGTCGTCACTTGCACCATGTGAGAGTGAAATTACCCCTCACTCAAGTCAAGCAATCATATTCATATCATTAGGTATGTGGAATGTCCATTAGATACATGCTTACCATCTCATAAGGTATGTGCAATGTACATCATTACTTATCTCATGACATCTCCTCATGACCATTCCCCTTTCTCATGTAGTATGGAAAACAAACTTTGAACACATAATCTCATGGAAATCATTATGCTTTCTCAATTGTCTCATGTGGTATATGGAATACACATTATATACATAAACATACCATCTTAGATGGAAAATGATCAAGCAATCCATCACACATTTCATGCCAACATATCTAGCATGTACATTTCAATACTCATGCATTAATCATAAATCATATCTCATGCTCACACTAGACTAAAGATCGGAGTCATTAAGTGCTTCAAACATTAAAGTGCTTGTCCCCCTTGTTAAAAGCTAGTACATAGTAGAAAATTTTTGTACATGATAGATTTGTAAACATTTTGAAAATCATTGCATCAATCATGTCACAATCACCAATAATTTTTTCTCTTAGAAAACCATTTTCATTCTTGAAACCCAAGTCATTTGATAAACCATTTTAGAGATATCATTTCAACATACATAAACAATCATTTCCAAAGAAATCATGCTAGTTTTATAATTCAAAATAATTTGAAAGTGGTGTAGCCATTGACCTTGATCGAAGACTAAATCACAACTTTTATCCGGTTATTTCCTCATAGTTTTTGATAATTCCTATCACAAAATAATCGTAGAAATCAATTTCTAGTCTAACAACCTTGGAATAATTAATCTACGAACTTTTGAAAGTTACTCGAATAAAACTAAGTTTATTTTCTCGTACTAAACCCATTATAAAATCAATAAACCTTCGACTTTTAGCTTAAGTGACTTGAAAATCCATAAATCCTATAACTTTAATCCTCTAATAAAATTTCAAGGCCAAGAAACAAGATCTCTAGAATAAAAATTACAAGCTTTAATGTTTACAAAGCTTAAAAGTGTCATTGTTTTCATTAAATCATAAAAGGAAGCTTAGATCCATTAAAAGGATGATTTTTGCTTACAAATGAGTTGATAGTGTTTTAGAAGAGGCTTGCACTGTAAAAAAATGGGTTAAGGGTTAAAAAGCCCCAATAAATGTTACCTATTTAAAGCATGGCTCATGAAAAAACATTTTTACCCTTTTTTTTTCTTAAAACAACGTCATCTATAGATAGATCAAGAGCATCTATCGATAGATGGGCTCTAGAACCATTTTAAAAAGACCTCAAGTTTCTTTTTATCAAGAGATTCCACATATTTATCGATAAATAGGTTCATCTATCAATAAATGATGAACATCTATTGATAGATATGTATCAAAGTTATTTCTAAGCTCAACAAAGAACATCCATTGATAGAGGATGAACCTCTATCAATAGATAAGCTCTAATAGTTAAAAATGTTGGCATTAGCCATGCAGCCAATTAGGATTAGTTAAGGATTGATTCTAATCATGCAATAATATCATTCATGTCGAATGACTAGAGGTTTTCCTTCATCAATAAGACATCAATTATAATGACTTATAAGTCTTGTTGGATGAAGTCCATGAGATTAATAAGCCTTGCAAGGGAGCTATAATGGATTGCAATTATGAGATCCTTATGTATCAAAGCATAATCTCAAAATATTCTTGGTCAATGTATCTTTGACGCTAGACATCAATGATGCTTAGAGACTTGTATATTCTATGCTCCTTACTTTGGAAGCAAGCAATCAATCTCATAGAATGAAGTATAAAGATACTTGGAACTAGAATGTAGGTGTTACCTACGAGAGCAAGTTCACTGAACATGACCTACCATGAGAAGTGTATTTGGTAATATAATTTAGTGTCTATGCAACACTTTTCATGTGTCAGTTGTGTAAATACTCCTTAGACTTGAGACACTAGGTTGTCTTATATGTGGAATGCTATGCTTTAGCTTCATCCTTATTGGTGCCTAACCAAGGATGCCAAAATCGAATGCTTTTGTGTATAGGATGAAATATGTGAAGTAAATGAGTGGTCAATATAGGAATCATCACCTTAAGTGTTTTAGAGAAAATATCCTATCAGATATTGGTTAACATTAGCTTATTGAAGTCCTTGGCTAAAACAACCTAGGGATTATGAAAAGGTTTCACAAGTCTTTACAAAGCTAATGCTATAACTGCAAGAATAAATATGAAGGTCAATAAGAGTAGACATTGTACCAAGCTATTATCATCTCTAAGATATATGATGAGGGAATGAATTACATTGATAAACTGTACACTGAAAGGTTGTCAAAGAACTCTTTGACTCTTTTAACAATTGGGTGGCCATGATGCATTGCTAGATGCCAATCTTGGTCTATGGAATTAACTATAAATTATTTGACTGAAATTTGTATTAATTAATTAAGTCATTAATCAATTCTATTGCCAACATGTTAGGAACCTAATGGGTTACACACAGTGATTGCATTTGAATTAAATTGGGAAAGTGATGATTTAAATAAGACTTGAATCACATGCTAGGTAATTAACCTTTATAAACTTTATTAAAAGAGTTTAATTAGGTTTTAGGCATAATTATAAATAGTTATAGTTATAGGGCCTTTATTGCAAAATATAAAGGAAATTAATTATGATTTAATTTCCAAGTACATAATTAAAAAGAGTTTAATTAAGTAATGGGCCTAATATTATAATATGTTATAATATTAAAGGCTTAATTGCAAAATTGAAGCTATTTTAACCTAACTATATAAGTCACTTTTTAATTATTTTCCATATGAGAATTTTTTAAAATTGGAGAAAACTTAGTTTTTGTCAAAAAAGAAACAAAAACATTTTCTATCTTTGTTGCCACTTCTTTTGTGTGAAAGAGAAAATTTGAAGCAATTTTTAAGAGAGGTTTGACTAGGATTTTGAAAAAGAAGAAAAGGACAATTGTTGTCCTCTTTGCTACCACAAAATATAGTTAAAAACTCACTCCTTTGTTGAAGGTTCATGTGCAATCGTGTGTTCTACTGTTGGAGGCCAAACACTTGATTAGCTAGGGTTTTTGCTCCTTATGGTGTTTGTGGGATAGCTTCAGGAAGTGCCATTGTGATTACAAAATTACTTTGCAAGATATCTTTCAAAATAATAATTAATTTTGTTCTTTTATGTGTGAAATATGACCAGGGTGATCCATGGGTGGAGGCATGTTTTGGTTGTTTAGTTTTAAAGTTTTATTTTTCTTTCCATTGCATATTTTGAGCATGCCATCCGTAGCCAAACCCATCAGTGGTATCAGAGCCTTTCTTAGTTTGATTTTAACATAGTTTTATGTCTATTGCTGTTAACGCCTTGTTGAAAAGGAATATGAGGTGTTCAGGTTTTAGTCTACACAAAGTAGTAAGCTTTAAAGTTTTACAATTTGTTCTAGTTATTTTGATTTTTAGATAGATTTTAATTTGTAAATTTTAAAATTTATTTGTCATTATATTAATCTCATCTTAATGTCAAAATATTGCAGATTAACAAGTGCATGAGATGCACAAATGAATTCAGCAAATAAAGATTCGATCTCATGACATTATAGTGTGATTTAAATGGTAGAATCCGATTTTGTCCAGCCATGGTATTGGTCCAATTTCAGACATAAAAGTGAGGTTTAAGAGTCTCATAAAATACAGTTAAATTAAGGGATCAATACACATTGGAAATCTTCCAAGATGGGTGATTATGTGTGGCTAATGGTGGAGGTAATGCTACCAAAACGTGGCTGAAACAGCCTACTGTTTGCAGCAATGACAGTCGCAGTTTTGTTTAGCTTGGCAACCAAAAAAGGTCTAAATTTGTGCAATTAGTTGCATCAATTGGCTAAGGATTCTTTTATGAAAAGGTTCCATAAATTATCCAAATTGTTGCCAAGAATTGTAAGGATTTAAATCCCCAGAATTAAGCCTTCATAAAACTGAGTTAGTGGAGTCAAAACTGTCGCTGCCTCTACAGCAACAAGCCACAATTCTGAATTTTTTTGATAGCCAAATATGTTTTCTAAAATCTTGAAAATTACTATGGAATTCTCACATAAAATTTATATCAAGGAAATTTAATTAGGAAGTAAAATCCTGATTTTTTGCCACCAAATAGCTTTAAAAGAAAGACAAACTTGGAACTGCCACTGCAAATAAAGGTCATGGTTTTGAATTTTTTTTGATAGCCAAAAGCATCTCCTAAAATCCTAAAAAAAATTATGGAATAGTTCCATGGGTTATCTATCAGGATAAATTTTATTAGGGATTAAATTCCTAAGTTTTTGTGACAAAGAATTTCAAAAGTACTCAAACACTGATTCTGTCACCGACAGATAAAGGTCAAGATGTTTTAATTTTTTGAATAGGCTAATAACCTCTTAATATCCTGAAAATTTATTCTAGAATAGTAAATGAGTTATCTATTAGGCTATATTTTATTGGAATTAAATTCCTAAAGACACACCACCATAGCGCCACGCAATTTGAACATGTCTGCGGCTGTCTGCAGTAGGACATTGTATTGGTTAAGACATACAATTTGTCCAAATTTTACACCAATAAATGATCAATTAAATTAGTTAATTGGCTGAGGATAAGTTATGGAATTAGTTCCATAATTATGCTAATTTTTTGACTTGTTTAATTTAAGGATTATGATTCCTAAAATTAAGGATGTCAAGATGATGAATTAACATCCACAAATAAAGAAATGTGTTGTTTAAAATTACAAAAGTTAAAATATCTTAATTAGCCAATTAAATGTTTATGGAATATGTTCCATAAATATTGATAATTTAATTAGTAAATTATGGAATCTGATTCCTTAATTTAAAGGTTTCAAAATTTAAATAATTTAAGACAACATTAATTTAGGAATTAGATGCCTACTAGTAGTGGGAGTCTAAATATTTATGGACAAATTTTGTTTTGAATTGAGTTCTTACAAGAAGATAGCTCTAATTTGACATTGAATTTAAAGATTAAATTGTCTAAGATATTTCTTAATAGGATTAGGTAATAACAGACATTCAATCTTTAATTAAATGAGATTAATAAAAGGTTGTGTAAAATATTTAGGAGCACAAATTATAATTGTTTTAATTTGTAATTTCTAATAAAAATTTAATTCCAATACTAACAAGTGTAGGAATGGATAAATTACTAATTTTGATTAGTAATACTTACCATATATGAAAGAAGTTTCCATATATATGGAATTCAATGGTTACCCAAAAATTTGAAATTAGAAAAATTCAAATGTTAAAAATTGTTAATTTCAATTACATCATATGATTAACAATTTGAATGAGACATGTCTTTAAATTTTATTGATATTGATGAATATATGTGGATGATTATGGGCTTAGACCCAATATGATTATGCTATGATTGAATGTATACTCTTTGTATTTTTTGGAAAAGGGCTTACGTGTCCTGCCTTATATCTTTATCTCGGTTTGTAAAATTCTTTCCTTATCTTACTCTCCTTGAATGTTACTCAATGTTTTTGCATTCAAATATAGTTAGAATTAAGATAGATTAGGAATTGAGTTTTGGGAAAATTGATGATGGAGATATAAGACGCCAAGGAGGACAAGGAGATTACAATGAGATTTTGAAGAATCTTCTATGTAATCTCCTAGGTTTGACCACGCTAGTTTCCTTTGGTGGCTCAAGGAAATTAGTATAATTAAAGTCCATAATCATCCAAAGTAGTTTGCATGTGATAGATTTATTTTATGCAATGTAACAAATGCTATGCAATACAAAATAGTATGCTCGTGATAGATTTATTTTATGCGATTTAATAAATGCTATCCATGCAAAGATGAGACCTTAATTAAATCAAAAACAAAATCTCTCATTATATATTGAGTCACATGCCATGCATGACCAAGTTGCCTTCCACCATATAGCAAGATCACCTAGCTACTATTTTAATCGGAGGCTTGTTGACCACACTCAAGGTCACACTTTTACATGATTATATTTGAGCTATTAGCTGGTCTTGCTTAACTAGTTTCATAAAATCCAAACATTCAGAAACTTGATTATTATGGAAACTAGAGGCAAGGGTTGGTCGAAACATATATGATATGTTTAGGCAATATGTTGTCACCTAGCTAATCTAGGAGTTGTATAGAGATGCAATAGGTAAGCTCAGTTACCTACCTAATTCACCTATCATGATTTGTTGAGCACATTTAAGGCCATGACTAAAAGGATAGGATCCTAGCCCATTAAGAGAATCCTAGGAGAGATCTCTCAAGGTGATATGGAGGGTTGTCATCTTGTAGAAAATAGTGGGAGAACTATTTAAAATTTTAAAACCTTGTTTTAAAAAGTTTATGCGTGATATTTACTTATTGCTTTATAGTATCTATTTAGGCATAATTTATATACATAGCTAATAATCTGTCACTATGGAACATCTTGGATGCAAAGAAATTCACTGGCCCAAACTTCCGCGATTAGTTTCAAACCTCAAGATTATCTTGAAATAGGAGAAATAATCTTATGTCCTTGACACTCTTATTCCACAAGTCCCTACCAAGGATGCTAGTGCTAAGGAGTAAGAAGCATATCAGCGTCATAAGGATGATGATGAGCAGGTAGCATGAGTGATGCTAACTAGTCTGATCCTTAAGCTCTAAAAGCAACATGAGCACATCGATGTCCAATCCATGATTCTTCACTTAAAAGAATTGTTCGATAAAAATAGGCGCATTGAGAGATATGAGATCTCTAAAGAACTATTCTGATGCAAGATGGCAGAAGTTAATTCTATTAAACCCTATTTGTTGAAGGTGAGTGGACTCATTGAGAGACTTGGACAATTAGGACTAATGATGGATCATAAGCTAAGTTTAGACTTAGTTACACAATCTCTTCTTCACAGCTTAAGTCAGTTCGTGTTAAAATTTCGTATGAATCAATTGGAAGCCACTTTTTCGAAACATTTGAATTTGTTGGACATAGCTGAAAGGTCCATCAAGAAAAACAAGGGATCATTGCTTCTTGTATCTTTTTTAAAGGCTTATATGAAGCAACAAAAGAAGAAGCCCAAAAGGGGAAAAAGGTAAAATCCCAAAATAAGAAGGTACTGAAGTCTAAGGGAGGTGTCATGAAAGACAAAGAGAAATATATTTGCCATCATTAGGCAAACTTGGGTATTAGAGGATGAATTGCAAGGAGTACCTAACTATTGTGAGCAAGAAAAAGAAGCTTATTGAAGTTTTTAATTTAAGTACCATTTGCTAAATAATTCCACTTTATATATTAAAGGTATATGATATCTCAAAGTTGGTTCTTATATGTTTGACATATTGCAAGGACCAAAGATAAAAATAAGTAGGATCTTGGCTGAGGAAGTGACCACATGGATGGACTACTTAAAGCATTAAATGTTACTTTAGATGGTTACACTTCTATATATCTCAATATGTTGGACAATATATTGGGATGTGTTTGAAACATTAATTATGTTATTCCCATGGGAATGGCTGGTGAAACATTTGTCTTTAGAATTTGGATGTGAAAGCTTATATGTTTCAAGTTTGAATAATTATTTGGAATAATTATGTTATATTTAATTATCCATGCTTCATGTTTATCCTTGCAATTATGATTTATGTTTAATTGATCAAAAGGTTAAATATTGATTCATATAAAATAAAACTTTCTTAAGAACAAAACATAAAGATGAATGTTCAAGAAAGAAAGCAATTTCATATCGCGATATAGTTTGGTCCATATATCTCTAACATATAAAGTCCATTATGATATTCCAAACAAATATGATTCCAAGCATACATTGAGATGTATATATATGTGTGACATCATGAAATATTTAAAAGAGTTCCAATATTACTTTCACAAAGGATTTTGGATTTAGTGGGATCATGATGACATTAAGAAAAGAGTTTCTTTGGTATTATATGGTTACATTGGAATCTAACTCTTAAAAGTTTGCATAGAGATGCATAATCATATGTATGTGAACTCCATAGATTTAGTAGGATACATTGGAAATGTATTATTCATATGAAATGAATCCACTAAATATGTTTTTCGTTTGAATTATACACTTTCTTCTATTAAATGGGATCCAAAGGCTTTGATTTAATATAAAGTACAAGTGTACTTATCTCATACACATAACAAGGTTAATAGAAGTGAATACAATTCTTTGGTGATTCATTTACATGGGATGCAATGTGTATACAAAGAAGGTGCCAAAATTTAAAAAGAACGGATGCCACAATGAAAAGTGATAAATGCATTTGATTCATACAGCATAGTTTAGTTGGAATGGTTCCAAAGAAATAGAGAATACTATGTACATGTATATAATTAAAATAGTACATATCCTATTAGAAAGAGCTCTAATAGAAAGATTTTTGGATCATTAGTCCATGGAACTAATAAAGTGTTTTGAACATTGTTAATGTAATAATGAAGCCATACTAGTAGACCTGGGTCTCATTGTTAATGTTACATTGTTAATGTAACATGATGTGGTGCATGGACATCACGAAGATAGATAAAAGCAATTAAACACATTGAAAGGGGCAAGTGAGTCTACATGGAGACACGATTGCTAAATGGATTGAATCCACATACAATGACGTAGCAATTGGCTTTGTGCTAGTGGGAAATGTTGGGATAAGCCTTGTAGCCAATTGGGTTTGGTTAAGGCTTGATTCTAATCATGCAAC